TAGTCTCGGGGGCCTCGGCAGCCCAGGACCACTTGACTGGTTTCAGACCAGCTGGGGTAGACAGGCAGGCAGGCACACACTTGTATTTGCTCCCTTACAATCAGCGTCTCCTTCTTTGTGTAAAATGGTAATGAGGCCATTAGGAGAGGCTCACCTGAAGTGCAGCATGGTGGAGCCAAGGTAATTAAACACCTCCCGAATGGAAGGGAAAGGCCAGAGAAGGTTAAGTGAGGAATAATCTGCTGCACAGGTGGCCCAAGGCCTTTGAGGAGCCAGAGGAGGAGCGACAGAGGCTTGTGCTGATGCAAAGGGAAATGTCACATGCGCACACTCACACACGTGCATGCGTGCACCCATCATCCCTGGGAGAGGTGGGGGTTTTCTCACTTGGTGGGGTGGGGATGGGGAGCAGGTAATAGTTCTAACATTTTAATAAAGCGTACCTCTTTTTCATGTTTCCATCTCAAGCTGAAAGTCCGCAGCTGCCTGCCCAGATGCTACGGGACCCACAGGGCTCCGCAGAGGCTGTCACAGCTGTGGCACGGGCACTCGCATATCCTAGGAAAGGGTTATACCTGCCCAGGTGTTGACACAGCCTCCAGGCTGCTTCCAGAGGAAAGCCGGTTCCCAGGGCCCACCTTGGGGCAGGGGCAGTGGTGCCAGCTGCCCTGTGCATGGCCCTGTCACTTGTCGCCTCCTCTTGGTTTCCTACCCAGGCTTTGAACTTGCCCCTTTAGCCATGGCTGAGCGGCGAATGTTTGCTAATGGCTTGCTGGGTGCCAAGCACTGTGCCCTGTGACGTCATGGATACTTTCAGCTGGTTTTCGGCAAGCCAGGGCCTCACCTCACCATCTCCGCTGGCTCCATACAAAACTGCCAAACCTTCCTCCACTGAGGGACAGGTGGATGTGATGTGGGGAGGCCACATGGCTTGATACTACTCAGCTATGAAAAGGAGCGAAAACACTGAGATGAAGGCATTTCCAAAAAGTCATGGGACATGGGGCTAAAAGAGTTCATTTTGGTGCAAAATTTTTTTTTAATCCATGCTTAGTTTTTTTTTTTTGAAAGATTTATTTGCTTTTATTGGAAAGGCAGATTTACAGAGAGGAGGAGAGACGAGAGGGAGAGACAGAGAGAAATATCTTCCGTCCACTGGTTCACTCCCCAAGTGGCCACAATGGCTGAAACAGAGCCAATCTGAAGCCAGGAGCTTCTGATCAGGTCTCCCACATGGGTACAGGGTCCCAAGACCTTGGGGTGTCCTCTGCTGCTTTCCCAGGCCACAGACAGGGAGCTGGATGGGAAGTGGAGTAACCAGGACACGGACCGGCACCCATATGAAATCCTGGTGCATGCAAGGTGAGGATTTAGCCATTGAACCATTGTGCCAGGCCCCATGCTTAGTTTTTCATAATCATATTTCTATGGAATTTTTAAAGAGCCCTGTGTGTGTAGCATGGCTTAATGAGCGTTATGCTGAGCGCAAAAATCCAGTCCCAGAAGACTACCAATTGTGTGATGCCTTTCTTAGTAAATGGCTTAGTAGCCAATGATTGCCTCTGCTGCCTACAGGGAAAGAGTTAGTGGGTTAGGTGACTCCTGATGACTACAGGCTTGGGTGATGGAAGCGTCTTGGGGTTGGAGAGTAATGGTGATTGTGTACCCCTGTGATCATGCTAGAAATCATCCAATTCCACATGTCAAGCGAGTAGATCTTACGGCAAATGAATTATATCTCCAAAAGGTATTTGAAAATTCCCTTATCAGAATCTCAGCAACAAGGTTGATTGCCTGTGGATCCCTTTAAAAAATACACGTATGCCATCCAAGATCAGTGGTGCTTTTTAAAAGATGCGTTTGTGTGTGTGAGTGTGTGTGTGTGTGTGTGTGTGTGTGTGTGTGTGTGTGTGTATTGTTTATCTAAAAAGCAGAGTAACTGGGCTGGGTGGGGAAGACAGGCACACAAAGAGGTCTTTCATCTACTGGCACAGTGCCCCAAAAGGTCATGGCTGCCAGGACTGAAACTAGGGGCCCAGAGCTCTATGTTAGTTTTCTCCATGGATGGCAAGGGCTCAAATACTTAAATCATCTTACAGTGTTTTTCCAGCATATTAGCAGGAAACTGAATTGGAAGTGGAACAGCCAGGACTCAGACTGGTGCTCTGAGATGCGGATGTCCCAGACAGCAGCTTAACCTGATGTACCACAGCACTGACCCTAAGCTTGATGATTCTTAGAATGTTTAGGCTCAGGCCCAATGAGGCAGCCTAGCGGCTAACGTCCTTGCCTTGCACACTCCAGCATCGTACTGGTTTCATGTCCTGGCGGCCCCACTTCCCATCCAGCTCCCTGCTCCTGCATGGGAGACCCAGAGGAAGCTCCTGGCTTTGGATCAGCTCAGCTCTAGCCGTTGCAGCTACTTGGGGAGTGAACCAGTACATCATTCTCTCCGTATCTCCTTCTCTCTGTTACTCTGCCTTTCCAATAAAAAATAAATAAAGTATATATTTTTAAAAAATGCTTGGGTGCATAGGTTCTTTTAGGAAACTAAGGGATGCGTGGAGCCCATGTCCAAAAACGAATTGCCATTCATTCATACTGCAAAGCTGTAGGTACTTTTTGGCCACCTAAATTTAATTTTCTGTTTTGTCCCAAGTTTTTTCCTTAAACAATTTGAGACCATTGGCTAGCCCTGTGTCTAAGTTCCTTGCAGAGCTTAGCGTCCTGAGATGTGCTCTCAATAATGTTACTTGCGTGTTTAAAAACTATCACTAGCGTCTCATTCTTTTTTCTCAAAATGGAAGGAATATTGTTTCCAATACCTGCCATTCTCTCCAGCTTCGTCACACACCACCTTCCCTTTCATTCTCTCCACTGAAGCCACTTGCTGTTTATTCTCTAAACTCCTTACCTCAGGGCCTTTGCACATGAGTCTTCCTTCTTGCATACCACTCCCTCTCTTCTTCTAATGCTTTTAACTCACCATGCAGCTCCTGCCAAGCCTCTTCCCTCCAGGCCTGCCTGTGCCCCATGGCCCACTCAGGGCAGATGTCACATGCGTAGGTACTTTTCTCATTAGAGTATCAGCTGATTGAGGCAAGATCCATTTCTGGCTTCACCCATCATCGTGTCCTCAACACCTAATACAGCATGGGCATGAAGAAATTATGCTTGTAGAATGAGAGTGATCTGAGGTCATGGCACATGGCACCTTCCAGGGGCACCTTCCATAACGTGAGCAGTATGCTCTCAAGGGTTGTGTGATTTGGAGTCCTGAGACAACGGGAAAGCGTATCGGAGACAGCCTGGGAAGTCTGATGTCCTTGAAGACAACAGCCACCGCCATGTCACACGGTCGTTCCTACACTGGCTTTTAGGAAAATCTTCATTCATGAAGCAGCTGGTTTGTTTGTAATACATAGGCCCAGGGACTCTCAGAACTTTGGTGTTTCCCTCTTGGCTGTGATCACTAAAAGGTTTAAATCAAATCAAAGCCCATTTCTAGCCACTTTGTCAGATCTCTTGGTTTATATTCGTCTATAAATCCACCTCGTGCTGCTGGCTCTCTTGCCATCGCCTGCTTCTCTGTTTGGCCTGTACCTAAGGAAGCGTATGTCTGTGAGTGACCACTGTGCCTTTGGAGTGAAATGTCTGCCCTGTAGGCATCAGTCTTTCATTTCTAATATCTATTAAGTAGTTCAGAGAAGTGGCGTCAGAACTCAATGCCTTTGTGTAATTTAGGCTCAGATCATAAGTCTGAGACTCAAATTCCAATTTGCAGATGTCTTGGGCTTGTTCCTCAGTGGATGGTCTGGCACCCAGGGCCCATTTCACCCTTGGAAGACTGGAACAGTAATCCCTTCATCTCAGGACTGTTGAAAACAATATGTTAGAATAGGCATATGAAAGCACTTACCGGAATGTAGTAATTGCTTCAAAAATAGTTTTACTTTGCTTTCATTAGACATACTTTGATACAGTGGCAACCATTTAAAAAATTTAAACCCACCCAAACATTCAGGTACTTCCAAAAGTTCACAAAAAGGTGGGATTAAAAGGCAAGCACATTTTGGTGCACGGAAGTTTTCCAATTCATGCGCATGTGACTCTTGAAGGAGTTCCTGGAAATGTGGATCAGGAGAAAAGCTTGCATGGATTTTAAATTTTTTTTTCACCAAAATAAACATATTTCTTAATTCCATCTTTTCCCACAAACTTTTTTTTTAAAAAAGAATTATTTATTTTTGTTGGAAAGTCAGATTTACAGAGAGGAGGAGAGGGAGAGAGAGGAAGATCTTCTGTGCATTGGTTCACTCCCCAAGTGGCTGCATTGGTCAGTGCTGAGCCAATCTAAAGCCAGGAGCCAGGAGCTTCTTCCGGGTCTCCCACATGGGTGCAGGATTCCAAGGCTTTGGGCCATCCTCGACTGCTTTCCCAGGCCACAAGCAGGGAGCTGGGTGGGAAGTGGAGCTGCTGGGATTAGAATTGGTGCGCATATAGGATCCCAATGTGTTCAAGGCGAGAACTTCAGCCACTATGCTATGGTGCCGGACCGCCACAAACATTTCAAAAAGATGTTATATATTTATATACTTGAGAGGCAGAAGAACAGGCAGCTCCCATCTGCTGCAGCACTCTGCAGGTGCCTTTGACAGTGGGGGCTGGGTCATAGAATGGCTAGATCCAGGAGCCAAGAACTTCATTCATGTCTCCCACATGGGTGGCAGAACCCAGCAGCTAAAGCTTCACCCACTGCCTTTTAGAATGTGCCCCAGCAGGAGACTGGAGGTGGGACCTGGAGCTGGAGAGCAGACACGAGTGCTGCAGTGTGAGACACAAGCACCTTCACACCCGGCCAAGCACCTGCCAGCCTTTGAAATGCCCTTGTGCCCACGTGTTTATTCTCCAGCAGCTGGCATTCCTGATACACTGGGTCCAGTCTTCTTCCTCCAGCCCTTCTCTCAAGCTGTGTCTCCTTTTTCTCTGTCCATCACCAGATTTCTACCCTGAAGAGCAGGCTGAAGAAAGTCTCCACGACTACCGGCGATGGTGTGGCCAGGGCGTTCCTGAAGGCCCAGGCTGCGTTCTTCGGAAGCTACCGCAACGCTCTGAAAATCGAGCCCGTGAGTAACCGCCTCCTGGCATTCAACGGAGTTTAGGTTTGGTCATGGCCAGAAAAAAAATGTACCTCAGGGAACACAGAGAACCTGGGATTCTTCTAGCATTTTTCTCAAAAGAGATTGTATGTGGGTGTTTCTGGTGAGGCTGTGTCCCCTGTGATTGTTAAGGACATTGAGTCCCCAGCAAGTAAGCATTGATTGTTGTGAATTAGAGATGAGGCCAGGCCACTGCACCTGCGCTCATTGTGGATTCGCAGCGTACCTGTGGCAGGTTGGCCCCCAAATCCAGAGCCAAAAACTGAGGCTCCAAGCCAAGAGTTGACTGGTCAGTTGGTCCCACAACTCTCCCACCGTGTCCCAGCAGTTCCTCTCTTGGAGCCAGCAGATCACTCCCGGGGACTCATTTCTCATTGGTTCCTGTGCACAGCCTCAGTGGGATGCCCACAAAGCACCACAGGCCTGGGAAGGACTGCTGCCCTCCTGGGTGGCCCTCTTCCTGAGCCTGGGTCCATCCCTCCACACCCCGGGCCCCTTACAGGCTGAGTGCTGGGTGGTTATTGCCAGTGTGTGAAGGCATGGGGCTCCCCTGCACCCCAGGCAGTCCTGATTCTTCTGGTCTGATTAGAGGCCTCCATTCATCACCAACTGCTCAATCTACTCTTGGCCAAGGAGGAGGGAGAACATGGCCCCGGGGAAGTATGGAGGAGGCTGTTGGAGGGCAATCTTCTCCCTTCATCCTGAGTTCACACCCAGCCCAGTGGGAGTGGGACATGAGGAAGCACTGTAGACCCCCTACTCATAGGCCAGGCTTTTGTCTGGTTTTGTTTTACATGTAGCAGGTAGCTGGGCTTAAAGACCGGTGATGAGTAGATGAAGGCAGTCCATCTCCTTAAGATGTTCTGAAAGGAAACCACAGTTACATTTCCAACTGAGCCGCAAGTGTGACAGGGTCTTGTGTCACGACATCACATGTAATGTGGTGGCTCTCTTCTGCTCCAACTTCCTGGTGTGTCTGAGAGCGGCAGAGTCAGCAGACACCTTGTCTTCCCTCCATGAGCTCTGGTGACAGGGCCAGAGCCACGGTCTCTGAGGAGCAGCAGAACTTATCCCCACCACCTTCTCATTTTCCGTCCAGCGCTGGGGCCTGTCCGTCCCGGTGCTGTCAGCGTCAGGCACTGCTTTTGCATGCCCGGACATCCTTGGGTCATCCAAAGGCCATCAGCTCGCAGCAGTCTCCCTTGTCTTTCCGTCTTAAAGTGAAGTGGCTCTGATTCTTTGTTGTGATCCGGGCCCTGCCAGCCCAGCCTGGGTCAGCATTGCTTGAAGAGCTAGTGTCATTCTAGGAAAAACCTGGGGTCTTCTCCCTGCAGGGAGGCCGGACAACCGGCCGGAGTCTTGCCTGGAAACTGACAGACTCGAGGTATTCTCATGGTCACAGTTTGCTCATTGCTGTCAGCGTGGCGAGAATCCACAGCCTGTTGAGTCTTGGTACTTGTTTGCAGGATGCAAGTTGCTTCCCCAAGAGAAATCTGCAGCTGTACTTGCACTTGGCTCAGAGAGACATTGGGATTAAGGCCCCAGGGCCCACAATATGTGATGTCAGCATTCCATGTCATAGCACCCATTCAAGTTCCTGCCACTCCACTTCCAATCCAGCTCTCTACTGATGTGACTGGGAAAGCAGCCGAGAATTCCCCCAGCTGTCTGGGCTGCTGCCACTCCTGTGGGAGACCTGGGTGGAGTTGCTGGGTTGTGGCTTCACCCTGGCTTAGACCTAGGTGTTGCAGCCATTTGGGGACTGAACCAACAGATGGAAGATCTTTCTCTCTCCTTCTCTCTCTTAAATAAATATAAGTAAATAAACTTTTAGAGTATTTTTGAAAATATTTGAAAGTCAGAGTTACTGGAGGGCTTCCATCACTGGTTCACTCATGAGATGACCACAACCAACCATGGCAGGGCCAGGCCAAAGCCAGAAGCCAGGGGCTTCCTCCACATCTCACCCACGGGTGACAGGGGGACACACTAGAGCCGTCCTTCGCTGCTTTCCCAGGCGCCGTATCAGGGAATTGGATGAGAAGCAGTGCGGCCAGGACGTATGCCATAGGGGCTGCCAGCACCACAGGAAGCACCTTTACCTGCTATGCCATCTCTCTGACCCCCCGAAATAAACGAACATTGATAAAAAGGGAACAAAGGGCAAGAAATATCAAAATGCCTTCCCAGCCCTCGAGCATGGAGAGGCTCCTGAGACTCCTGAGCGCAAAAGGAGCTGCTTGCTGCCAAGGTGTTCATCATAGCAGCATTTGTAAGAGTAAAACATTGGAACAGACCAAGTCTCCACCATGTGAGCAGTCTTCAGAGAATTCATATAAAATGCATATTATGAAAAAGCTATGCATAGATTTCAGGGGGAAAAAATTGTTTTCAGCATATTAAGCTTAGCTGTGAATTCCATTTTTCCATGAACTTTCTCAAGCGCCCCCTTGGGGTCCCTGCTGACGTGAGTTCCGTGTGACAGGCCACTGGAGGCAGCACCCTGAAGGCAGAGTCGACTGTGAGCACAGCACACACCCGTCACCCTGTACTGGCATCAGACTAGGCGCCACTGTCACAGAAAGTCTTAAGGAGGGAAAGGTGATTGAGGACGCTGTCAGTCGTTAAGACACCACGACACAGCAGAGGTTTTCATTATTATTATTTAATTATCAATAATTAAAGTAATAACTGCACAGCACATGTGAACTCCAGAAGGGGGAGGGACGGTGGCCACGTGGCTGGGGAGAACAACACGTGGGGGTGAGCCTGGCTGGCGCCAAGGGCTCCCCAAGGGTCACTCCTCTCCTGGCTGCTTCTCTGATTGTAGAAGCAGCACCTGCTCTTGGTATTGAAAAAAAAAAAAAAAGCAGCAGTTAAAGTCACAGACAGCAAGAGGCTGGCTGACACTGGTAACCCTGTGATCTGGAGGGAAGATGGCTACTGGCCAGATCTACTTCCGTCCCGGGGGACTTGGGGCTTGCTTTGTCTCATGTTTGGTTTTGGGTTTTGCTGATAGGCAAAGCATCCCAGTATCCTGGTTTCGTGTGTGTTCCCACCTCTTGGTCCATGTTGCATAGCAGTTCTTCTGCCATTATAACAGCTGTTTCCATCCCAGCAGGTGCCTGCTATAATATCCGGCCCTGGCTGTGCGTCCCAGTCACCTGTAGGCCTTACGAAAGACCTGGGCTCCACTCACAAATTTGTATCCAGTTCCCACAATCAGAGACATCAGTGCCGAAGTCACTCCGGTGTCCTAGCACCAGGCTTTGTGGCTGCGGGCACCATTTCACTGTAGTGACCTGATTATCGAGGGCTTGTGGGCAGTCAGGGACAGGCATGTGGCATGGCGGCTAAGATACCACTTAGGGCACCCACATCCCACTTTCCATCTTGGGCTCCTTTTCCAGCTCCAGCCTCCCACCTGTACACACGCGGGGATGCAGTAGTGATGGCTTAAGTACCCGGGGCCTGCCGCCCAAGTGGGAGGGACCTGGATTGAGTCCCTGTGTTCAATCTGGCCTGGCTCTGCCTTGTGGGTGTTGAGGTGTGAACCAGTGGGTGGAAACTAATCTCTCTCTCTCTGTCTCTCTCTGCCTTTTAGATAGATAGGTGGACAGATAATTTATCTTTGAAGTCTTCTTGCACTGACTCTGATGTGGCTTTATCAGGCCAAAGGATCCAAGTGCATTTGAGGCCTTTGATGCTTTAGGTGTTGGGAGAAATGCTGACCAGAAGCAGGCGGGTATAGTATGCAGGTAGATGCCATGAGCAGAAGGCAGCCAGGACCTGAGCCTGTGGGGAGAATGGCCCAGACAGTAGGCTGACCTTGGCCTGTAGTCCCTGTGGCTCGTCTGCTCAGGAGCCTTGCCTGCCACACAGGGGTAATGTGGGGTCTTCTCATCCTGGACCAGCGGGGCACACTCAGGTTGCTGCACTTGCTACATGGTGTTGTGTCTTGTGTTCAAGATGGAGATGATGGCAGGCCAGAGTGTGCTCCTTTCTGTCCTGCTCCCTGGCAGCTGAGGACTGCACAGGCTACTGCCCTTCTGCGGGCATCCCTTTCCTGGTCCCTGAAGCAGATGTGTCAAACCTGCTTGCAGAATAAAGGAAGACCCAAGGCAGCCCCACCCCAGGCTTGCCAGGCTGGCCCTCTGAAGCTTAGCTCTGTTTGGCCATAGCCCACTGCCCCTAGCACCAGAGGCCTGTGAAGAGTGGTCACGCCCTGGCCCAAGAGGCAGAGGTAGGCAGCTTCTTCTGCTTTCACTGGGATATCAAGGCCCCCTTTCTGGCTCAGAGCTCCCTGGACATTGTTTTAACTCCTTGGCCTTTTCTTCCTTTGCTACTAAAAAAACCCAAAGCCTCAGTGGTCAGGGAGACTACTGGGCTCTGTTCATGCCCATGCCCAAAAGGGACCCAGCCTCCTGGCAGCATCTCTGCGGGCTCAGGTGAAGGACCTCACGGGTATCCCAAGGGTCAGAGTTGAGATGCCCTGAGCCAAGTCCCCCGCTTCCTTCAGCGGCCTCTATGAAGCCCCTTCATGGGTTAGCTGCTGGTTACCTTCCATGTGCAGCCTCAGCAGCGCCCCGTTTCTGCCCCTCGCTGGCTACAGATGAGGCCTGTCTGGTAAGGAATAGAGCCCCAGGTGCCTTCCGCTGTGCTCCCCCCACCCCCGCCGCCCATCTTTGTTCTTTCCACGAGCTGCAGGCACAGGTCCTGGCACAGTGTGTAGGCACCAGTGAGTCTTATTTTGCAAGCACGGGCTAAAGAAACAACCAAGGTAGCAAGATGCCTTATAGCGCCACTGCGTTGGCCCATCCTGCCGCCCTGAAGCTTGCCACTGCCTGGCAGAGAAGAGGCCCCGTGAACCACAGGGGCATGTGGCCCCCTTCTCAGTCACCTGCAGAGCATCAGCTGCAGAGCCCGAGATGGGTAACGACATGAGCCAAGCCAACTTGTTCTCCTCC